ATATCTATTTATTTATTTATTCATAAGCAAGCCGTAATCAATAATAATAAATATTATTTAAGGCTATTGTCAAGATCTATAATGCGTAATACTCGTACATGCTCGCCATCCTCATATTTTTCAATAATTTTATGGTTTACTTCAAAGGACATGGCCTTTTTTTTAGACCCATGGTTATAAAAGCAAAAAAATGCGAACTCAACATATATAACTGTACAATCGCTATTAATGTATATAATCAAAATTTCAAACGCTAAAATAATCCTCGATGTATTAGAAGCACCACGTGATTTTTTAGGAATTGTAGGTTTGCATCTAATTTTAAAAATATGGAAAGAAAAATGAGTGTTGAAGAACCAAGTACCAGTAGAAACCTGGAGTTTTCTAGGAGCGAAGATGAAAACTCAATAAAGCGATATTAATTGTGAGCGTTTTTTCGCTTTAAATATGAAGCACTTAATTTCTTGAAAATCCGTCGACCTATGGTCATAGTTTTAGAAAAAAACGATCATTTGTTAAGGCGTTAATATAAAATTGAGATCAATAACTAAAACGTGATAAAACAGCCAAGATATTTCTATAGTAGAAATACCCATTATTATAACTGACAAAATTTTCCATATTTTCATTTTGTCAATAACATTTTTTGAGAAAACTTTTACTCGCTCAAAGCTCATATCTCAAGTTTTGCTCGTATTTCGAAGCAACAAATCGTCTTATATCGTCAGGGTACCAGTGTAGTTGATAATAAAAACTCTTATACATATCCTTACACAACGCTTCCATTGGCAATAATAAAGTTGCGATGAAGATAAGATGTTTTATTACGCAACTAATTAAGTCATCAATATCGAAACAATGTAGTATCATCCCACTGGAACAATTGTAATAGAAAATAAAAACAATACGCTGCTAAACCCAATCACCGCATTTGATGTTTTATGAATACGCCCATCGTGTGCTCCTAGGCGAGGGTGACAACGGATTCACGTAAAGCCAGCAAATAATATGCAAAGTCGTGCAGGAATGACGGTTATTATGAGTAGATGATAAATCCACAAGAATATAGTATATCATTTGTGAAGATGATACTAGATGGATGGCAACTCCTGGAATGCGCGAATGTTGAATGCGCAAATTCGTGGGAATGCTACGAAATACAAGTGATTTGAGATTTGACCAGACCCTCTTCAGGAGGTCGGTTAACGCGATACCGACAATTACAATGCGCAATTTTTTTCTATGCTGATGACTGCAATAAGCGCAGCAGCACACGTACAAGAACATTACGAATCTATATCATTGCGAAATTGATTCGTCGACTTGAAAGTTGACGCGGTGGACGTGGGCGATGCCGAGATGATGTCATTGAGTACGGTTCCAATATTGTAGTTTCTTATTGAAAGAGACGAGTTTCGTATATAAACATATGTATGCAAAAGCATTTTTTGAGAACGCAATAAAGTACCCGTACGCAACAACACTTGGTTTAAAAGTTATGTATTGCATGCGCGTTTGTTAATCATTTTCTTAATATTTCAAAAATAGTCTTCAACATCAACATAGGGTTTGATGCATTATTTCCATCAAAAAACATATGTTATCGCATTCATCAAAAAACACAGTAACTTATACATAATAATAATTTTAAGTGTCTATTTGTCGTTACTACTTCTTCAATATACCTCATAAAATCTTTCATTAAACTAATCTCTAAAATATCCGCTAGGAATCTTAGTCAAAGCCGCTATCAATATTCAATAAATTGTCATCGCTAAATTACACCTATATACAATGAAATGTCCACCCACATTTACTCAACAAGTCTTGCCAAACAAAAATATACAGTTACTGTACGAAGAAGGCCAATGCTGTACGATTACACAATGGTTCAGCGACACCTACCCCATGATAAATTGACATATAATGTAACTAACATAATTATTTGCAATTTTTAATTATTTGGATATTTAAATGATTTTTTTAATAATGAGGTTATCAAAAACTGGTGGCTAAATTAAAGTAAAATTAAATTTTAGCATAAAAAACTTAATCATTATATAGAGGGTGTGCTTAAAGTCTGTTTGCTCATTTCATAATAAGTATATATCTCCATCTCCTCTATCTACTTTTTTTGAATCAAATTTTATATGAAACAAAAATGTGCCACAAAAATTCAAATGCTGACAGAAACATGAGATGGATTTGCTCGGAGTAAAAAATATGCAAGTGGCACAAACGCATCAGTTGGGTCGTATCATGCAATTTTTTCAGATTGTTTGGTAGTGAGACATATGGCAGCAAAGTTTGTTCCAAAACTTTTGATCTGCAGAATTGTCGCAAATGCATAGTGCCCATAAGCTCTCGAATGATGTCAAGTGTTGATCCCGATTTCCTCAATATGTTATTTGTCTTTTATGATGTTTTGACATCGAAGCCAAAGGCAAATCATAAATTTTCTGCTACATTTTTTAAGGTAATAGAAAATCTTCGAGCTCAAAAAATATGTGTACATTTTGATTTATCAAAGACGAAGTAAATAGGCAATATACTTAAAACTGTGAACATATGTTCCACGACAATGAATAATCGAATGTACGTTGCTTGGGAACATGAAACACCCTCGTTAGTTTTTAATATGTATACAGTGGTACCCCGACTTATGAGTGACTTGACATGTGTTTCGAGTGTTTCGAGATACGAGCCCCACTCGAGATACGAGCTTTGGGCGAGAAAAAGTTTTTTTTAGAAAAATGTTAATGGCAAAATAAAAATATGAAAAATTATAAGAAAATTGTAGAAAAAATAAGCCCGAAGAAGTTGCAACAGTCCAAGCATGGAAGATGCTCAACAAAACATGTCTAAAACTCATTTGCGCAATATGATGAATGGGCAGGTAAAAACAATTATTAAATTAATAAATAGTAAATTTGTTTTTAATATTCGAAAAACTTAACAAAACCAGAATGCTGAAACGAATTAATCACTTCTCCTTCCCCCCTTGATATTACTTGGTGATTTTTAAAATAACCCGTCACCCTAACACATACCATGGAATTTATAAGGAATAATATTAAAGTGACCATACCAAACCGAGACGGTCCTGGATTTCCATCTTGTGCCCCGTGTTTTTCTAAAAGCAATATTTGTCCCGGATTTATTTTTTTTGTCCCGATTTTCTTTTAAATAATAGGTAAATTTAAAAAAAATTGTAAACATAAACAAACAAGTGCTATTTTTTTAAAATTAATTATAAAATTGAATAGAGTTTATTTCGAGGCTCGAAAGCGAGAAAAACACATATAAAACATAGGTAAAAAAGTATTAGATATAATTGAAAATAAAGTTCTTACTAAAAGTCCGCAATTCCCATTAAAAAAAAGATTCATATAAAAGATTGATTCTTAGTGTATCCTTAAATAGCATTTGTTATTAACTTCCCATAGGGAAAGTTATAGTAATCGCAAAAAAATCGAAAGTAAAATTTTTTATATATCTTTACGTTTCAAAACCTTCTGAACATTTGGAATTCGGAAAAATGGATGTATGTGTGTGTGTGTGTATGTATGAATGTGTGTGTGCGCGTCTATGTGTGTGTGTGCGGATACATTCACTTCCCGAACGATTTCGGGAACACGGATGAAGCGATTTGAATAATTCAAAAAACATTCGATTCGTATTGATAAGGGAACGTGCTGATTAGTTTTTGGCGAAGACAGGTCTAGCCGTTCCAAAGATATGGGGCAAAAAGTGCCAAAAACGGTAACTCAGTTTTTAAGGGAACGGAGAGTCCGATTTGAATAATTCTAAAAGCATTTTACTTGTATTAACAAGATGAAGAACTGATTAAATTTTCATGAAGGCAGGTCTAGCGGTTTCGGAGATTTAGTAAAAAAAGTAAAAAAATTCCATTTGGCGGTCAAAAATGATCACTAGATATATTCACATCAAATTATGAGATATTTTATAGAGATTTTAACAATACGTGTAAATTTTGTTTACATTCCTATGGGTTCCGTACCATTCCGTTTATCCGTTAGATAGCGAAGCGTCGCTTACGCGCTTCGATATTTCGTCTCTATGCAGTTAAAGCAGTACGATTGCTTTGAAAAAAAGTTCAAACATTCCAAAAAAAAGTAACTTTTTGTCAAAAATTTATAGTTTCTCAAAAATCTAATTTTTTCAGAGTAATTTTTTTTCAAAAATGTTAATCTTTTTAAAAAAAAATAGTTTTTGGTACGGGAAGTTCCAGCAATTTGCCTTAAGGCACGATGCCATGCGCCCTACTAGCATACATTTGCAATAATACTGTGACAAAAATTTCCGATCATCCTGATCATTAACTAATTTAAATCATGAATTAACAAAAACAAAATCCACGAAATTGATAAAAAAAAAAATAATTCTCGAATACAAGAAATAAGGCTTAAGGAGATTGCATATGCACACTTGTCGTTCAGTGGCACAATATGATTAACGTCACGTTTTTAGTACTTTTCTTGAAATTTTGATTCTTTTTTATAATTCAGGTAAAAAATAAATACAGGTGATTTCTTACTAGATCTCCTCACGTGATATTTCAAGATTTTTGGTCAAACCCCTTTGAAAGCCTCACGTGATTAACATTATGGAATTTAAAAGGAATAATATACATTTGCAATAATACTGTGACAAAAATTTCCGATCATCCTGATCATTAAATTTATAAAAATAAAAACCATAAAATTGATAACAAAAACAAAAATAATTCTTGAATATAAGGCTTAAGGAGATTGCATATGCACACTTGTCGTTCAGTGGCACAATATAATGACCGTCAGTTTACATATGTTTACACATCGTCCGCACCGATGCATCATCATTGCCTCTCTATCGCACCAGTAATCATCGCAGGTGAGTCAGATCGGCTGGCCGCACGCGCGACTTAGTGTTCAGCGCGACGCGGCCGATCGGGCAGTGCTTTTAGCCCGCGCGTACGTTGCCCGCCGTTTCGGAAAGCCCGCGCGACCACATGGAAATTCGTGAGCGTCCTGAGCGCGGAAAACGCGACCTATCGAGGAAAATGCAACGCAGGAGGAAGGGGACGGTGGAAAATCGCAGGAATGGCGGAAAAACGAACGGTGAGTGACTTGTTTGACATTTTGGCATGACATCTTTTGTTTTATTAGTGTGAAAGAGATGAATTTTATAGAAATGTTAATATTGCAATGTAATAAATCTATGACTTAAATGTTGCACATTTTATATCTTAATAATATATTTTCATTTCTTAGTAAAATAAGCGACATGATTAACACTAAACCTACCAACAATTATCGTTTTTTTTTTTCTTTTTTTAAAATCTTTTTTTTTTTGCATAGTTTTATTGTCAATCAAAATAATATACATTTTTTAAAAAAAAATCTAAAAGTTAAAATGTGCTAAAAATTTTACATGCATATTCTAACAATTATCATATAGTTTGATAACAAGAATTATTATAATATTTGAAACTGTTTTATTAATTTGACCGGTGCTTGGTTAGTATAGTGTTAAATTCATCTCTTTCCGGATAAAATAAGTGAATAGTGACAAATACATAAAAAATAATTAAGTATTTCCACACCTATATATATATATATATATATATATATATATATATATATATTTAGCCTAGATTACTTTTAGTCTCAAATATATTAGGGTAGTCCTTAATATGGACATTTTCGAATTTCCTTGCTCCCAAGGGCTCAAATGGTTCCAAATTGATAAAAAACAATTTTCTCAAAGTTATAGCTCTTAAAATTGTCTGTTAGATGAAGCGCAATTCAATCAAAGTTTTGTATGGAAATAGCATGAAAAAAATTTAAAAAAATTTAAAAATTAGTTTTTAGATATAATGAGCGAACAAATGAGTTTTATTCAAAATTTGTCGCTAAACTATACCTAAAAAAATTTTTTTTTAATTTTCAAATTTTTTCCATGCTATTTCCATACAAAGTTTGATTGAATTGCGCACTATCTAAAAGTTAATATTAAGAGCTGAAACTTTCAGAGAATTGTGTTTTTATCAATTTGGAACCATTTGAGCCCTTGGGAGCAAGGAAATTCGAAAATGTCCATATTAAGGACCACCCTAATATATATATATATATATATATATATATATATATATATATATGTATATATTTATATAATATTTGTTTGACTGACCAGTAAAATAATAACTGCTAATTAGTGTATTATTATATTAACTATTGCCATAAGAGTTATAATAAATAATATAATCATCTTTATTTTATGAATTAGATTAAGATCAGAACTCTGGTATATATAAAAAAATGCTTCTATTATGTGAATTGTGAATATTTTTGCGAAAGCTGAACTTACTTATGCGATATTCTAAACTAATTTAAAAATATATTTTATATTAATTAATATATTCGAGTTAATATTTCACGCTTCTAGTTTAAAAATAATAAAATAATATAAAATAATAATAAAATAGTAAAATAATTTATTTAATTATTGTTCAATTAACTGATGTTTTTTTTAATGAGATAAGCCGTCGGTAAACTTTATATTACTTCAAATATTACTTTACAAATGGTAAGAGTGATTTATTAATAATTTATTTATTTATTTATTCAGTTATTCATATAATAATTAATCACGTTAATCACCGCGATATTATCAAAAAAAAATCTCATGGGCCATGGTAACTTTAATAACTTAATTTAGTTAAAAATGTATCAAGAAAACTTAATACATCAAAGAAAAATATTTTTTTGCCAAAATTTCTGAAAGAACACTAATTTATTCATTTATTTATTCAGTTATTTATAAAATAATTAATATTAGCATGTTAATCACCACAATATTATCAGACAATTTTCACATGGACATTGTAACTTTATTAGATAATTTCTAATCAAGAAAACTAAATGAGTCAAAGAAAAAAATGTTTTGCCGAAATTCCTGGAAAAACACTATTTTTTATGTCACCCATATATGACTGACATGGCTCTATATTAAAACTTTTCGCGACAAACCAAGAATTTTTCAGGTCAATTTGTCAGCCATGGCTCATGTAAAATTTCTTAGCCTCAAACACATATGACTGACATGGCGATTAACGTGTTAATAAATTTTTAGCGTGTATTTCAAAAATAAAATTCTCAATGAAATAAAAATTATAATACTAATAAAATTCGATTCTGAACGTAATTCATCATGAATTTTGATTTAGTTGAAACATTATATGATTTATCGGGAGACTTGTCGGTTGATCTTTAGGACCTATATATATTCACAATTAAATCATTGTAACTAAAACGAATTGATTTGTTATCGTTCTCAAATTAATATTTATTGATGTTAAAATACATCTTAATTAATGTAAATTAAGTCTGTCAACGCCGATAGTTTACATATTAAATCTTTACCAACTGTCCCAATATAAATTATCAAAAACCTTCGCAAAAAACGTTAGGCAGCCGCGAACATGATTATCTATCAATGCATAGAAGTAAACCTGCCTATAGAAATAAATCTCAGGAATGCCATTACCAATCAGATTCGCACGTGAAATATATAAAAAAGAAGAAAATTATACAGGGATATATTATTATACAAATGCGTTTCACTAACTTTAAACTATTCGCCTTCCACAAACTATACGGTATAACATACGTGATAACGGCTTTTGAAGTAACTTGGATTCAAATTTTTAGATTTTTAATAAATAAGAAATCTTGGTATATATTTGGTTCTATGATTTTAAACAAAAAGCAATTAATATTATAAATCAGTCTCTCGGTTTCTATAAATCGATGAACGGTAGATTGCAGAAACTCGTATAGAAGCTTCGAAACATTGAGTGAATTGTGGCATGCACGATATACTATAATAAACGCCTTTCATAAAATGATAACACCCCTTTTGTTTGAAATGAATGCTATTTCCCAATCATTTCAAATTGATTATATCGCAACAATAATGGAAATATACTCTATTTCTGCTACATTATGGGTGAATCACAGCTGGATGGTATGAGATTTTTAGACAAAAATTAATAGATTTTTTTTTTTAATATAGGTTAGATCAATATAAAAATTTGCAATTCGTTATATTGATTCAAATATGTTCAATTCAAAATAAATGTTTAATACAATTAAGCACAAATTCAATTATACTCTTGTTTAGTTCAATTACTATAATAAATTCCGGATAAAATAGCAATTTCTTTAATTTGTTAGAACTTTACCAGTCGAAGACTTGAGTGAAAACTCTCGGATAAAATAGAAAAGTTATGGTAATGCTATGTTACGGGGCCTATCTTCGTATGAATTGGTAGTAACAAATGGTGAAAAAGCTATATATTTGCTGTGTGACCAGGCGTTTAACACATAAAACCTAACCTACAAAACGCACAAACGTAAAATAACAATTTTATCATAAGTGCATCTTTCAGGTGTCTCATTGATAACACATACGTGAAGTTAGGTTTTATGTGTAAAACACTTGATCACACAGCAAATACATAGCTTTTTGACAGTTTGTTAATACCAACTCATACGAAGATAGACCCGTAATATAGTATAACCATAACATTTCTATTTTATCCGAGAATTGGTCCCAAAGTCTTCGACTGTAAGATTTCTCACAAATTAAAAAAACTGCAAAAAAATTGAAAAAAATAATTATTCGTCATTATTTTGTATCGGTAAGGTGGCCATATTTTACAAGTCAAAAGCGGGTCGGTCATTTTTAGTTATGCTGGTCCGGGGGGGGGGGGGGGGGCGGGCTGGCTGAACGTTAGCAAATGTAATATGATTTTAAAATAACAAATAATATTTGAGAATGTTATAAAAATCCGTCTATTTTAAATGAGTAATTTTTAAAAACTTTATTATTCGAATATATGTTATAATTTTATCTTATATTTATCTTTTGGATCTATATGTTTTTTTAGTTTTTAGACTTATTATAAAATTTTGTTCAATTTTCTTCATAATTATTTAAAAATAATTGGCATTTACTTCAGGCTGCCAAGAAGTTCATTTTCCTAATTTTTGTTGATTGTCGTAAAATTGAAAATAAAAGTTATGAATGTGAGAGAGTATTTTAACCAGTTTTTCTCATATGAGCATACTATTTGTACATAACATTTTCAGATATTTTCCGGGTAGTTATAATTTTATTATCAAGTAAGAGCGAAAATTCAATTTAGATATATACTTTTCGAAAATCCGGGAGAAAAAATCTAAATCCGGGACAAATATTGCTTTTAGAAAAACCCGAGACACAAGGTGAAAATCCGGTGCAAATCACCTTAGTATCGGTCGCTTTTCCCAAAAATTTTACAAATAGTTTAAATTCACCCTTCTCATGCCATTTTACCAACAAACCGATTTATAGATCATTTATAAGCTATTTCAATAAAAAAAATTGAAAAGTTTTTATTATTACCCCCGCAGCCACCATATAATTGATAAGGCAGGCACGACAATTGCTACGGCCCTGATTGTAAGACATTGTTTTCCTGACAATATATTTAATAGCTTAAACAGTTAACTTCTGTTCTGATCAATATATTACTGTAAAAAATTATATAAAATTATTACACATAATTTTTATTTGTTCATTGTTTGCAGTGATTGACAGCTATCGAATAAACGAGTGTCCATTTAACACGTGAATCCGGAATGGCCGAGGTGCTTCCTGCGTTGCGCATGGCCCGGACGGACGACGGGAGTTCGAAGCCGGAAACCAGGTAAGACACGTGCGTGCAACAGTTAAGGAATTGAATATTAGGCGCCTGCTAATTATATTATGTGGGACCCATTGTATGTGACGCGTCAAATATCAATCGATAATAATCCTTCGATGTGGGAACGTCGGATCATTTTCCGGCCGATTAATATTTATAACACGAGATGTAATAATTCATATTCAAAACTTTGGCTTTAATTCTTATATTTGTCAAATACACATTGAAAGATATCGCAAGTATTGTTGATATGTACCTTGATTGATTTTTCAACGTTAAAGCATATTTTTTGCAAATTCTTTAGTAACTTCCCGCAGTAATGGACTGTAATCGTCCAAAAACCGAAAATAATTTTTTTTGCATATCTTCAAGTTTTAAATGTTTCTGAACAATTTGGCATACCATTCAAAACTTTGGCTTTTCATTCTTATATTTGTGAAATACACTTCGAAAGATATATCGCAAATATTGATGATATGTACCTTCATTGTTTTTCCAACGTTGAAGCATATTTGTTCAAATTCTTTAGTAACTTCCCGTATTAAAGGGTAAATAGACAGTAATCGTCCAAAAATCTGAAATAATTTTTTTGCATATCTTCGTTTTAAAGGTTTCTGAACAATTTTGTCATACTTTAGAAAAAATGGATGTGTGTGCAGGGATACAATTTTTCGTCCACGTTTTCGGGCGCACGGATCAACCAATTTGAATTATTCAAAAAACATTCGATTCCTATTGATAGGGAAATGTGCTGATTGGTTTTTGGCAAAGGCGGGTCTAGCCGTTGGTACGGAGCGAAACATGCAAAAAAATGCAGTTTTTGAGAGAACTAAGCATCCGATTTGAATGATTCTTTCTGCTTGTGTTGACGAAACAGTTGTTTTTGAGGAAAGAATTTTTTCTCCAAATGATATTTTTTTCCAGTGATATTTGCTTATAAATTACATTCCAAAGAATTCTATGTTTTCGCCAGGAAACTCGATTTGCTAATCTTATTTTTTCCCTATGTTTCAAGCCATTTTGAATCCTTTGATACCAAAATTGGAAAGAGTATGTGTGTGTGTGTACAAACCAAAATTTAACTTTCAGTCGACGTTTTCTCAAAAATAGCAGCACCGATTTCACAAAGTTTAAAGAAATTGGATAAGGACGTACATTGATCGCCAAAATTGCTTTTTTGTAAAATTTTTCGACCACGTTTCCCTCAAAACTCTTAAATTTAATTTGAAAACCGTTTGAAATTGCATATCAGTTTAGAATCGGCTTAATAGTTTTTTGTAAAGATCGGCCGGGACGTTTCTTCGTAATAAATTGTTGAAAAAAAGACGATTTTGATGAAACCTTGGTAGATATTAAAGTTCATGGTGTTAAAGAAACATGCTAAAATATTATAGGCATACGAAAAGTAGTTTAATTATAAAAAAAAAACAAATAAATCAATTATGGAAGCGACAAATTATTCCGACATACTCCATTTGATAGAAAGTCAAAAAAAAGTTTTAATATAGGGCCTTGTCAGTGATATATGTGTAAAATAAAGAAAAACAATTTCTAAGAATTTTGGCAAGAAAAATGTTTTCTTTGACACATTTTAACTAAATTATATAATATGGTCCACGTTAAAATTTTTCTAATATTATTGTGGCGATTACCGTGCTAAATATTTTATTAGTTTTTTATGTATATCTATATCGTATTAACCGTCTAATATTTGTGTACTCTCAATATATAAAAAACATTTTTTACGTAATTTTGGAGAGTTTTATTCGTATAATTTAAATTAATAATGACGTAAATAAAAGCAGAAAAATACAAATACATAACGGCACTTGAGAGAGAACTCAAATATACAATGGGCAGTTAATTAAAAGAAATCGAATAATGGGCTATGATAAAATTGCAAAATTTTATTGTCACAAATTTCAAAGTGACTAAATAATAACTCTTATTGATTAAGTCGATTATTTACATATAACGGAAAGTTTTAACAATATGCCTCAAGGTAAGATGACCATACGTCCCGGATTGGCCGGGACAGTCCCGATTTACCGCCTTGCGTCCCGGCTTTTTCTAAAAGCAATATTTGTCCCGGTTTTAGGTGTTTTGTCCCGGATTGTCCCGAATTTTAAAAATTGTTTCGATTGCCAATATTATTTTAACTAGAAAACTTAAACTGAAAAAAATGTGCATATAAGTTGTTAGCTCACCAAAACTAACACGTTAATTGCCATGTCGGTCATAAGTGTCTGACGCTCACTAGCCCTACAGGAACAATACGCGACTTGGTAAAAGGAGAAAAAAAATATATATGAAAAAATTATATAAAAAATATCGTTTTTCCAGGAATTTTGGCAAAAAATTCGTTCCGGATTTCATGTAAAAAAATATGGTCACCTTACTTAAGGCATAATGCCACTAATATATAGTTAATAGATAAATCATCTTTAATTTTAAGAAATGATATTTTATTTTTAATATTGCTCTCCGTTTACCTATGGTCAATTTATTAACCCAATGCCGATTGTGAGCTTCCCGTCGCGTCTGTGCGTGCATCTCGCACTAGCGGACTTACGGTCCGGATTAAAATCTAATCTTCGAGTAAGGATAACTCAACATGCCCCGTAGCATACTGATTCGCCGTTATATCCTACCGCGCCCGGAAGAAAATCTTAGTACCGGTTCTTCTTATTATAATATTCAATGGTTTTCAAAACAATAGAGCAATTTCCTTCCGAACAGGTAAATAACAACGATATTTTAACAAGCACAATACACTATTTACGAAACTTATTTATTATATATTGTCCGAGCACTAATCTCGAAATAATATACCAACAGAATTTAAATTATAGATCACGTACAATGATCTTGTTATGTACAATCGTCTCATGTATCATTAAATTTTGTAAAAATACACGTAACATTGTTTAGATAGATTAAATTATGTGTTTATTTTAATAAACATCTGCCTAACTATTACAAGGAATTAAATCGAATATATATATATATATATATATATATATATATATATATTAGGGTGGTCCGTAATATGGACATTTTCGAATTTCCTTGCTCCCAGGGGCTGGGAAAACAATCCTCTGAAAGTTTTCACTCTTAAATACTAACTTTTAGATAATGCGCAATGGAAATAGCATGGAAACAATTTTGAAAGTTAAAAAAAAATTTTTAGGCATAACTTAGCGACAAATGAATTAAAAGTGAAAATTCGTGTAATTTTTTTTATTAAAAATTCGACGCTCTGCAAAATTTTTGAAAATTTTCTCATGCTATTTCCGTATAAATCTTTGATTGAATTGCGCTCTATCTAGAAGACAATATTAAGAACTAAAACTTTCAGAGAATGTTTTTTATCAATTTGGAACCATTTGAGCCCTTGGGAGCAAGGAAATTCGAAAATGTCCATATTAAGGACCACCCTAATATATATATATATATATATATATATATATAAAATATATATATATATATATATATATATATATAAATATATATATATATATATATATATATGTGTATTTTAAGGTGGTCCTTAATATGGATATATTCTAATCTCTTTGCTTCTGTGTTTTTAATTGTAAAAGTTTTTCCTCTTAATATTAACTTTGAGAGTCCACTAACTAAAGTTTCTTATGGAAATAACATAGTAAAAAATCAATTTGTTTTGTATAATTCTGAATTTGATGTTAATATATGTATTGACATAGTATAATAATCGAGCACAACATCAATAACATCATAAAAAAATATTTTATATATATTTTCATACAAAGGTTTCCTTCATGTTGCCCGATTAATAGGTTCTATCAATACATAAAATTTTTGACTATAATAAAAAAATAATATTTTTTATTTGTAATTGGTTTGGATTTACATATTCACTGTTAAGCAAACATATATAAAAATTTTTTTTTTCGTGATCTTCTTCGTATTAAAACTATTTAATTATGTATCTTTTGTCAAAACGTACAGAATAAAAATATTCTGAATATTTCAGAATAAATATATTATTTTTTTATTTATTGTAATTTTATCTATTAAATGCCTGCCCTACCAATGAAAAATGCAGAAATAGCATAAAATACCAAAGCATAAAATGCAGAATAGGGGCAAAATATGTTAATTGCTGGGGTTACGTGGCGTATTATGCGTGAAATTGTAAGGACCTAATCGTATTAACGGGGTTCTACTACAATGATTAGCTGCCCATTCGTCGAAATAAACAGAAAAGAGTTAAAAGAAAATCTTTCTGTATTAATTATACTTTTCGACACTTGATGTGTGTCATCATTCAGCAAATCCACCAGGACAAAAACAAAGAAAAGTCATTGTCGATTGTGAATTGATATGTATCTGTTTTGTCTAGGAAGCACAATGTCCTCTTCTTAAGTTTCTTATTTAAAATATATTTTAAACTAATTTTAGTGTATTATATTTTTGTAGTTGGTTGATTTGCTGAATAATGGCCCACATCAAGTGTCGAAACGCATAATTAATAAAGAATGTTTATAATTTTTGTCAGAAAGATAAAATCATCACATTTAATTGGGAAAAAGTTCAAAATACAACATATTGCTCAACAAATTTTCATTTTATTGAAATTTTATTTTACTCTCTGAAGTTGGTCAAAAAAAAACATTTTGAGTTTTAATATCTATTCCTTCCACTTTCTGTTTTTTTATAATATTCTTAAAAATCATCGGATTTTATACTATTAAAAACTTTATATATTCCGTGAGACAATTAAAAACTGAATAATGAAAATAATCAGGTTAACTCTGACAAAAGGACGTTCGAAAAATTACGTTGGCTTTGGTAATCTGCCACAGAAAGAAACAAAGAACCTTTTTTAGAATACCTAAAGTCATGCAACATCTTGTTGCGCAATTTCAAAAGACAAGAACAACGACAGCAACGAAAAAATCGAAATAACTGGAAGTATATAACAACTTTGTAAGCGAAAAGAGACGTGCACATCGGCGTAC